CCTGTGCCATTTCATACAGGATTGCCCCGCTCTCCAACCCACCAGTCGGAGGAGCCCCGCGGCCCACTCGACATCCTTCCCCTCTCTTCCTCTGCCTCCCCCGCCCCCCGCCCCCCCAAACCTGGAATGGCAAACCTCTGCGTGCTCCAAAGCTCCTCTCTCCTCTTCTACAGGGGTGCAGTACCCGCCGGCAAGGCTTTCCCTCTTTCTCCTTTCTCCTGCTGTGGCCATGCCCGGGGGCCGAACCGCGCGCGCAGAGCGCACACGGCACGGGGGCCTCCGACCAACCCGGGACCCCGTGCAGCCCACGTGGCAGCCCGGGGCCCCGCACAGCATGTGCGGTGGCTTCCAGCCCACCTGTCCCTTTTAATTTCTTTTTATTATCAGTTCTTTAAAGAATTGATTTAGAAACGGAGTAAAATGAATCATTTTATTCACTAATCATGGAACGCCTCTCCTATGGAGATAGGCTGAGAGAGTTGGGGCTGTTCAGCCTGGGGAAGAGAAGGCTCCAGGGAGATCTTAGAGCCCCTTCCAGTGCCTAAAAGGGCTTATAAAAAAAGGAGGGAGAGGGACTTTTTATATGGGCAGGTAGTGACAGAATAAGGGGCAATGGTTTTAAACTGAGAGTAAGTTTGGTTTAGACTTTAGGAAGAAATTCCTTACTCAGAGAGTGGTGAAACACTGGAACAAGTTGCCCAAAAAGGTTGTGGCTGCCCGTCCAAGGCCAGGTTGGACGGGGCTTGGAGCAACCTGGTCTAGTGAAAGGTGTCCCTGCCCATGGCAGGGGGTGGAACTGGATCTTTAAGGTCCCTTCCAGCCCAAACAATTCTGTGATTCTGTGATTCTGGGAGTGTAATATGTTTTAAAATCTTTATAAATGAATATGACCTCAGCTTTGAATATTGTCCACAAAGGTGTCACTTGTGGCGTGTTGTCCAAGTGCTCCTTGATCCTGCTCCTCTTGGCACCAAAGGCAGAGCACAGCCCGATGGAATGGCAGTTGTGCTGGGGCAGGGTGCTCTGGGGTGTGTCTCTGCTGGATGCTGAGACATGGCAAGGCTAGTGCAGCATGAGAGGATATCCCTGAGGACCCTGAAGTATTTGACCATTCTCTGTTTGAATTAAAACACTTAATTGTTCCCAATTATGCAGAACAACCTCATAGGTGTATTCCAGTATTTTGTTTGGGAAGAAAAGGAGGTGATGAAATGGAAAAAAAAGAGATATTTAAGATAATGTAAATTTAGTGCCACAAAGAAGTAAAGTATGTTTTCATAGTGCAGGAGATCTGTTGCTTGTTTTAAGGTGAATTTTACGGAAAATTCCTTTAACAGCCTTGGTTTGTATTCCCATTTTGGGGTCATACTAACTAATATTGGCTGCCTACAATCAAGCTTTTAAAAGTAACTTCTCAGTCTGTTGCTCAGGGTTGGATTAATGCGTTCTTTCTGCAGTCCCATTGATCCCATAAAGTCAGTATAGTTACAGTCCTATAATAGGCAAAAAGATCAAAGTAATCCCATAGTGGGGGGAAAGAGGATTCTTAGCCAAAACAAGCTGTTTGGCTTGTAAGCTTTGCTCTAGCACATCTGCCATGTCCCCAGCATTCCAGAGCTCCATGATGTGCCTCCTGTTCCTGTGACACCAGGGAAGTGCTGCAACAGGGCTTTGCTAATCCTGACTGGACTTGAAATAACAGGATTGGTTTGTACCAGATAGACTAGTTTGCAGGGGCCTATGTGTATTTCTCTTCTTTTTCAAAGCACTGGGTTACAAATTATGAAGTGCAACAGAGTGGGTGGGATTTGGAATTGGTCAAGAATTTGCTGCACTCTAAGAAACCAATTGCTGGTCATGCTGTCTTCTGACAGCTTTGTGCTACCAGTCTGCAAAAAGGTTCACCCACCATAAGCAGCTTTTTAAAAGATTGCTTTCTTACTGGGAATGAAAAACCAACAGCAGAGCAAGTGGGCTTCCACTTTGTTACAGCAGGTTCAGCAGGACAGATAAAGGAAGGGAATATGAGGGAATTAAATAAGGAGACTTGATACTTAGGGCACAACTGTTTGCAAACCATCTGCTAGTCCAACGGATTTTGAAATTCTTTGGTTGAAAGCAATTTCAAAGCAATTTTGAAAAAGGCTTACAGAATCTAGAGTCATGCAAGACCCTCCAAGCCCAAAATGTCTGCACAGGATCATCAGAATTCTTATTTGTTCAGTTGTTTCTGTATTAATGGAAGTTTTACAGAAATAAATCTGACACTTGGACAAGTTTTCAGCTGAATCTGAGTAGAATTGAAGCACTGTTACCTGAGTCACTGCATGAGGTTTGAGTGAAGCTGAGGCTGCCTCTTTTATTTAGAAAATTGTTAATGTATGGGCATAGCAAATGTGCTTGTAGGGGTCTGTTACTGCTGATGCACCTTCTGCTTTTTCATGTTAGTTTTCTGTCCATTTGAAACAAAACTAAACCTTAAATCTGATCTACCTGCTGTATTTCTAGAACATCATTACCTTACCTGTAGTAATTAAATTTTTTCCTACTTGTGCTTTTATACCAATGCTTTTCTGGGTAATATTTATTTTTATATTATTTGATAAACATAATGGGGAAAGTGACAGGTATTATTATAATAATAATCATAGGGGAAACTGGCATGTAATATTTTAATAAATATTTATTTTAATAAAGCATTCATTAAAATAATCTATAAAATATACAATAATACTGTGTAAAGTATTTATCTTTCCCAAGTTTTTGAACTATATAACATGAAATAAATCTGATATTCTGTTATCTTTTGTGCATTTAATACTGCCAGCCATGTTCCTTTATTCATTTAGTTTCAACTTGTGTCTTCCGAGATTATTTTTCTAACTATATGGAAAGCATTCTTTCTGCGTAAGAGGAGAGAGGAGAAAGTTTTCCGTAACTTCTGGATGCCTCCTCCACAAGATAGAAATATTGTGTATACACCACAAGTATCTCCATGGAAGCAATGATGAGATTAGTGAGGTCACTGGATATGTCAAAACTTTAATGAATTAATATTTTGATGGCTTTTCCAGTTTTTTATTACTTATGTGTTGCAGACAGTGCAGGAGAGGGTCTGTTTATGGTAAAGATGTGTACAAAATACACATGTAAGATGACATAACGACATGTGGGAAATGTGTTGGTTTTTCTGCGAAATGTTATTTTCTGATAATGGGGATTGAGCTGGAAAGGATCCCTATTATTGGAATAATGCATATCTTGCTTGCCTTTGCCAGCTACACTTTGTGAAGGTGCAGTGTGGTTGATCCAACAGAAACATGCCATAGGTGTAGGATTGAAATGTGACCCGTGTCTGAGTTAGGGGACCTTCCAATAATACTTTTTATTGTTATGGGATTCTCTGTCTTCTCTGAAAATGTTCTGTGCTCTTTAATGACTCAGTACAGCTTCAAGGATTTCTGTTGACCTTTTTTGTTCTTCTAGAATTTGGGGGGTTTTTTTGAAAAGAGGGAGATTTTCCCAGTTCTGGAGGGTATTCATCTGGCAGTCTCCTTTTGTGATATGATCTCAAAGGCCAATCTTAGTTCCTTCTCCCACCCAAAATCTGTCTCCATGAAGAGTGGTGGGATGATGGATGTTCACACAGGCTGTCAGAGCTCACCTCCAGCAGTGCGTCCCCTGTCTGACCAGGCAGATGGTTACGATTGGAGTTGCTTTTGAATATAAGGGTTATGTGGTTTTTGGGTGAATAGAACTGTGCCTTTATAGCTCAGCAGCTTTAAGCTGTTGGAAAGACTGGAAGTAGATGAGTGTGCTGTTCCTGCCAGGAAGGTGTTGCTCTGTCAGCTATGGGCAGGGGCTATAAAGAATCATGAGGAGGAGGACGAGGAGGAGGAGGACATATTTATGGATATGTGGTGGGTATGGGCTAATCTGACAAAAACGATCCTTGTTTCAAGAGATGATTTAATCTTATGTTTGGATATAAAGTAAAACACTGGAGCAGGATTTTTAGAGAGACTGTGAAATCACAGAAATATTTAAAATTCAGCTGAACAAACCATTCTATGAATCTATGGTGATTCTATTCACAGGCCCCTGAGCAACTTGATTTAGTTGGTCCTGCTTTGAGGGAAGGGATGGCCAAAATGATTTCCAGAAGTACCCTCCAGTTGAGCTTGGTCTCTGATTCTCTGATCCTGTGTTAGAACACTGAGTGTACCTTAAATACCATGTTCTATAATCTCTTTATTGTTTCTGAATTATTTCTGCAATTCACTTGAAAAGTTCCTGTAGGTAAACTGCTGCTTATTTTTAATCAGTAACTATCAACTGTTTGATTGTGGGTGACCTGAGAGCTCATTTACAGGCCTTAGACAGCAGTTCTGCATCACCTGTGAATTAAAAAGATGCAGTGGAACATGGCAAGCTATTGATGTACAGCAGAACAAATAAAGTTTGTGCAGTTGGAATGGCATAGACTCAGGTGTATAAATTGTGTTAATTGTTGTGAAAGATCCATTTATGTTTACAGTCCAGATTTCCTGTACAAGGGTGCACAACCCTTAAAAGTATATGTGCCTTTACATGTACATTGTCAGTTTTTTTGCAGGGTTTATAAATGTGATGAAAATAGACTTACACGCAGCTTTATTTTTAATGGAAAACCTAGACACATCAAAGGAGGAAGATGATAGAAGAATTTGAATGTATACTTTTATATACTATAATGTTTAATTTTCATTTCAGTCAAAGGGTTTATGTCAGATCTAATCATTACTATGACAATATTTACATTAATTGTGGCTTCCTTCAAACAACTGTTCTTTTTGGATAGTTGCCTTTTGGTGGTAGTAAAATGAAGTTTAAAATCCTACACAAAATAAAATAATGGCAATCATCAAAAGTGCTTGTGGGGGTGTTTGTTTTCACACTAGTTTGTTTTCAGTTTTTAAGAGCCTGAAGAAAAGATTGAATAGTAGAAACTATCCTCTTAGGTACAGTCATTCCAACAACTCAAGTGCTGTGCCCTGAAAATGGCCTTTTCAGCTCTAAAGCACTTTAAGGTGAGAGAAATTGGTTTTGTGTTTGCTGCTTCTGGGGTTTTTTTTCTTTTTTTCCTTGTAAAACAAGGAACAATGGAAGGAAGTGTGTCTGAGCCATTCTTATACCAGAAAAACCATAGTGTGCATTTTTTGTATGTTTTTTTGTTGTATTGTTTCGTTAACTGTTAGTCATGTTCAAACAAAATTCTTTTTATGAATGTTTTCATATAATATTCGGATGAATATCTGGGAAAGCTGCAATAAAACTGGAAGGGACTAAATACTATCTAATGCTGTTGTTTGTGTATCTGTTTGGAATGTATTACTGGAAATATGAAAAAGGCTTTCTAGCTAAAAGTTTATTTGTAAATGAATACTTTCTTTACTGTTTACTTACCTTTTTTCGGTTTGTTCTTAAAAATAGCTTTCAAAGTGTTTGGTACCTTGAGATGCTAGTTCTATAAGATATTTAGGCAAAGGTCTGGTTTCGGGTGTGTGAGCTAAACTCAGGTGCTCAGGAGCTTTCTGCATCTGCCTTTTGCCCACCTGTTGCTCAAATGTAGGTGGGTCACACAAAGCCCATCTTGGAAAAGGATATTTTCAGAGAAAGACTTTGATCCCTCTTTCCCAGGCTCCTGGAAAACTGGTGCTGGATAAAAAGGATACAAAAATGGATAAAGAGTTTAATTAATAATTTTTTAATGGCCAGTCTTCGCAAACGAAGATTTGGGAAAGGTCATTAACCCTTCGAGCCTGCGCAGTGGATTTTTTAGGTGAGACACAGCGTGCGCTGAACTGAGCCCACCCTTTAATCCTGAGGTTCATCTGCCGGGGCCGAGCAAGCTTGGACAGTGGCAGTGAGGTCCCCAGGACGTAGGTTTGTTTAGAGTGACCTTCTCTTAGATGGATTGCCTTACAGGGCTAACGAGCTCCATCTGCCCGGGGGGCCGGGAATCAAACCCGGGTCGCAGCGGTGAGAGTCCTGCACCCTAACCACTAGACCACCAGAGGCCCCGGATAAAGAGTAAAGGGACAGCAAATAAACCTCAAGGCATTGATAGAATGGAGAACATCAGAGGAAGCAAGAAAGCAAGGAAATGTCTTGGAGGGCAATGTCAGGATTCTTAAGCAAACTGCAGCTGCCAGGATAGAAATCAGGAGGGTTGTTTTGAGAGGGTAACACTTGAGTTTTGTATGAGACCACTCATGGGTGGAGCTCTGAGTGACCTGATCTATTGGAGGGTGTCTCTGCCCACAGCAGAGGGCTGGAACGAAGTTTTTAAGGTCCCTTCCAACCCAAACCATTCTGTGATTCTAAGTATTGTACATCTATTAAAAAAAATTGCATGCAAGAGGAACTTGAAGAATTGTTGCTGTTGGTTGAGATCAAAATGAGAATGCCCCAACACCTTGATAAACTGTGGTTATGGGCTGAAAGTTTAGAATTTTGGAAAGACTATAAGGGTAAATCAAACATCAGTCAGGGGCACCATCACTGAAAAAAAAAGATATGAAGTTGATGGATTTGATTTTATTGCAAGATAGTAAACCATTCAGACAGGAAAGCCTTTGAGGGCAGAGACAGAAAAACAGAACTTGTGGAGGTACTAGGAATGCCAGAAATTTGGCAGCCAGGTCAACTAGCTAGGATAGGACCATTGTGTAAAGGGATCTGGAGAAATTATCCACTCTTTTCTCTACCTGATATTTGAATAAAGCAGCTTGAAGAAAGAAATGCAGTTTTTCGAGTCCTTGACTTTGACTTTTTTTTTTAAGTCTAATTTGTTTCTGTGCATTTGTTTGCAATTTCTGTGTCAACGAAAGTAAAAAGTATCTCATGGATAGTTCTTCAGATTATAGCCAAAGCTGACTCTAGCTGTAGTTTAATTATACAAAGTTAGAAGCCAGTTCTGAAAAAAACAAACATGGGGGAACTACTGTGATAGTTGTAGGATAAGGTCTTGCACTGGGAGCACAGGTGGATCCTTGTTTTAAGTGCATCCCTTTGGTTCTTAGCGAATGTACCTGACCGTGGAGTCAGTACATTCTGACAACCTGAGCAGGCTCTGACATGCAGCCAGGTCTAAATTCTGAACAAAGGAAAATGTTCCTGTTGGTCTAGAGCACTCTTCTTGTTGTTTGTTCATTTATGGCCTTTTTTTTTTTTCCTGTGGGAAAGGGGGATGGGGAAGGAATTGTTGAATATGCAAAATGCTTGAAGTGTTTTGGGTTTCGGCAAGATGAAGGGTAATGCTTACTGTGCAGCCCAAGATGAAAGGAGCGTGCTGAACTTCATAATTATCCCCCTCGGTCTATACTGTAAAGTCTGAAAAAGTTGCAGGTTAGAACCTGCAGGTATTTAATGAATTTCAAGGTGCAATTTCATTTTTTGGGCATTCCTGAAAGATGCAGCCAGTAGACCAAGAAGAACATGGAACAGGTCACGTGAGGTATGTTCGTGCAGCCTGCTCTGTGCAGTTCGTTTCTAGTACAAGTACATTTAACCACCCATGCATAAGATGTAAAGTAATTTAGACTGCCCAAAGTTCTGATGTATTGTCTTTGTGGTAGAGCACAGAACAAGAACATGTTTAACCTCATATCTATCAAAAAGCTCACATTTTATAGCTATAAAGTAATTTAGTTGCTTTAAATTTAAACAGATGCTCGAATATATTCTTTTTTTCATTAAATTTCCTGTTTGTTTCTAAATCACAAACTAAGATTTGATAAGCCTTAATTGATCTGGGAGCCGTGTGTTCTCGTGATACTCAGCTGTGCTGTTTGATTGATGTAACATTTAATTTTCAGCCTTTACCTCTGCCCACAAATTTTACTCTTTACTCCTCACCATATCTGAAGCATTTATTAACGTAGTAAACACTGTGGTTTACATAATAAAGCTATTCCAGATTCTACTAAGCAGAGTGTTTTGGTACATGGGCATGTAAATTTATCTCAGTTGTGTGTAGAAAATAGTACGTGTGGGGGTTGTTTGTTTGTTTGGCAGTTTGGAGGCAAGAAACTTTTAAGAATCCCCTAAAGGTGCATTTATATTTCTTGCAAGTTTGTTTATAAGATCAACAGTTGTTATCTGTTTGAATCACATATGTTAATTCTAAGATGCAAAGCCACTACCTGCCTTAGTAGGTGAACACCCATTTTGGAACTGTTGTGGAAGTTCAGTTGCAGGTACCAGGTGTTACTGTTGTATGGAAGAAATGCAAAACTCTCTATTCAGTGGGATTTATTGAACGCTACAGTCTGGAACTGTGTAAAATCAGTCAGTGGGAATTTGTGAGCAGTTAATACACAGGGCTTTTTTCCCCCCCTACTCTTCCTATTAGGAAAATAATGCTTGTAACTTCAAGAAAACAAGTGTGGGAATTCTGCTCTTAACCTGAATAGGCATAATTTGTATGTGAAATTTAAGAACTTCTACAAAGAATTTTGAATATAAAAGCACATATTTGAAGAAACAGGTGCATTCAGATAATCTGCCCAGATTTGTGCAGGCTGGGGTGGGGTTGACAGCTGGTTTATTATCTTCCCATTTTGTGACTTCTCCTGTCGTTGCCTGTAGCTGCGTTTGGGTTTGACTCACCAGGTGTGCTCAGGACAGAGAAATGAGAACAAAATCCAGATTAACAGCTTGGTTTGGATATCAGATTCTTGCCATGACAGTCATTTTAGGTGTTAGCTTTCATGGCTTTCTGTATTTCATTATTTCCCCTCTTAAAAGGTTCACTTTGCATAGTCATAGTCTATTATAGCTTAAATGTCTTTCATGAAACATATAGTTGCTTTTAGTTAAGAGCCTGTGATAATTCAGCTGTCACTATTGACATCTCACACAACTTTCTTTGCACAATACCCTGTAGCTTTTCTTGAAGTTAATTTGCAGTTGTTAACTTCTGTATTGAATTTTTCCCTTTTGTTTCATGTTTTCTCTTCCCTCTGCATGTCATTTATTAAGGTACCTCTACTTCATTCTTTATGAACCGTAGTAAGATTTGACACACAATGCTGTGTCCCAGTCCTGGAAGTGTCCAAGGCCACGTTGGACAGGGCTTGGAGCAACCTGGGCTAGTGGAAGGTGACCCTGCCCATGGCAGGGGTATGGAACAAGGTGACCTTTAAGGTCACTTCCAACCTAAACCATTCTATGGTTTGATGGTTCTGACTGCTCTGATAGTTGGATGAAGTGTAAACTGTCTTATAAAACTGTCTGTTGTCCTGGAGGTGAAATAATAGCATAGTTTTCAAACATTTAAAAAAAATCCTCCTCAGTCCAAGATGTTTGAGTAGTGGTTAAATACCTGTGAACATCTGTTGCAGTCGTTTTACAAATATTTTTTTGTTAAAAGCCTCCTAGAAAAGAGCTGTGCTTGATAGGAGAGAATTTGATTGTCATTCTTTTCACTTTTTTTAATGAACCTATATTCCTAATAGGCCGTGGATGTGTTTGGGCTGTCAGGTTCCCTGGACCCTCCAAGGGTTGCCTGTCATATACCGGCAAACTCAGGGAAGCACTTTGTGCCCTCTAGTTCCAAGAAAAGCCCTGGCAGTGCCATTGGAGCTGCTGGCTGGGCTGGGCAGGGTGACAGAGCAGCACTGCACAGGAGACAGGGAGAGTAAAACAGCTCTTCAGGCTTTGCAGGAATCATGGAGCTGCCAGTTCCTGCATGGAAGGATTTGCCTATCACAAAATTACTGATGTAGCTGGTACCTGAACAGCCTTTCTCTCTACAAAACAAATAACCCAGCAGGGAGTGTGCTCTCCTGCTCACCCCCACTGCTTGGATCAGGGCGATGATGGGATGGCTTGGAGTGGAGGAGCTGGATCCACTCCCTGGGGATCTCTTGTGGAGATAAAGGAGACTTTTTAGGGCTGTCAGTCGGCTCCTTTCACTTTGCCTTTGAATCACCTCATGGTGTATTTTTAAAAGTATTTGTTGTACTGCTGTGCCTGAGATGTGTTTGTCAAGGTTGCAGTCTATGGGCTTTGTTTCCAGGAGATTGGAGTAGGCCAGACAGAGAGGGACTATCTGTCTGAACTTGGGATTTCTGCTTTTCTCTGGCTTGAATCATACCATAAACTCTATTTAAAGATTTTGGTTTTTGTATTTATTTTCCACATCCTTGACCCTGACTGGTGAGCTGGACATTTGTGTTTGCCTTGGCAAGCTTCAAGCTGCTCATCTAGGGCAGGATGAAAACTTTTTTTTTTCCTTTTGTAAACAGACTGTTCCTTCAGTATTTTCCATAAGGATTTACACCACCATTTTGCAACGCTTCTAGGAATCAAGAAACTCTCGCCATTCGGAGTTTTCATTTTAACACAGCTTGGAGCAAAGCAGCGAAATGTTTGATTTTATGTTTTCCAAGTTTGAATTTGAAGAGCTTTTTTCAGAATGTTTTTTAATTCTAGAAATACTACGGTTTTTTTCTCAAAGAGATTTCTTAAAGCTAAAGGTCAATAGGCATTGTTGCCTGTCTAGAAACAGGGTTATTTGTATTTTTTATTGGTCTATCCAGTGCAATGAGAACAGTGCCCCATTGTCCCAGGCACTGTATACATGTAAAATACTGCTTTGTGCCCTAAGAATTTACAGCCTAAATAACTTCACATTCTGTTATGGGGGGGTTTTTTGATATATTTTAGTGGTCAGGATGTAAAATGAGAGAATAACTTAGCTGGCAATTTTATGCCAACACACAAGTTATGTTTTGGAACAAATTAACTAAATTTCATTTTCCCAGGGACATGGGGCTGCTGCTCCTTTTGTCAGGTGAGGGACTTCCTCCTCTTCTGAAAGCTCTGTGCTCTAGAAATTGCATTCTTCGTACTCAGAAAGACTTGTCATGGTACTCCAGCAGTATTGCAGATAATTTGGGCAAGTTTGAAATGCCCCAAGTCACAGATGAAGTTTTATGTATTATAAACTTAGTATTATGATATTTTTTAAGTCCAACTCAAAGCTGAGTACCCATGTTAGTCCTGAGCCTAAGCCTGCCAAGCAGAAGGAGGGTATTTGCCAGGAGCTAAACCTCCGAAAAATCATAGTCTCTTAAGTACCCCCCTGTTTCTCTGCAAGAAGAAGCTTGTGCTATATATTCAGAATACATTACTCCCCCCAGAATAGTTCTGCTAGCAAGTCCCTGTATTTTCCCTCAGATCTGCTGCCTGGGAACTGCTCTGAATTTCCAACATTTACCTTAGTGTGTTCACAAGGGTACCAGATTCCTTGATGGTCTATGCAAATACTCATTTCTTTCCCCCATCTATAACCTCTTACTGAACAAGGGCAAGTTGGAAAGTAAAAGTACAATCCTGCTGTACTGCAGAAAAAAATCTGTAGTTTTTAATTTTTTTAAACAATAGAAAGGTACAAATTTCCATATAACTTCTTGTCTTTAAGCTGCTGTTTATGAGATTAATATTTGAGTGTAAAGCGAAGTATGGGATGTCTTGAAATTTTTCTCCAATGTTTAGTAGATTACACTGGTTATTAAAAGTTATTACTCACATTAAGTATGTGCCAATGAGTCAGCAAACCAAAACAAAATGTCTGGTTTTTGGTCTAAGTCTTACTGTAAATGATTCTAAATAGCAAATAGCCGAAGTGACAAATGCTGAAAATTATATGTTTAAAAATATCCCAGGATGACAAATAATTAATGGTGTGTAGGTTGTTAACAGAACAGAAGAACACTGAATTTTATGGAAAGCTCCATTGGTGCTAGTTAACAGTTCATAAAATGCTATTTATTCTTCCTTTTAAAGTAATTTAAATAGTAATTTGAATTTATGAAAGTATATTAAAAGCATATTTCAAGTCCACAGACTAAAATTATACTTCCTTTTTGTTGCAGATCTGGGACATGAGTGATGATGAAACAATCTGAAATCAGCTGGATAAGGAGGAGGATGACCTGGACTGCAGCCCTGCCTTTATCTGTTACCTGACAAGTTAATGATTGCTTACCCATTCTGACTGCTGCAAATACAAATATAATCCACATTTTGACATTAATAACTTCACCTTAAAAGCAGTCTGTTATGGACAGAACTCTCCATGTTTTCATTTTTATTTCGTAAATAACTAAAGCAGTGGTTATGTTTAAACTCGGTCTTTTTTTTTTTTTGTTAGTTTCTAAATATGGCGTACGTATAAAATACACTGCTTAAATAAGCTTTGGAGGTTTATTTGTCCCAGGTTTTATTTTGCTTGTCAGTGGACACGTGGAAGCAGCATGTCTTTTTTCATCTTTCCCAGATTTGTGCCCCTTTAGTTGGAATCTGTTGTTAAGACTGAGCATGTTCTGCTACTGGGAATTAAACTTCATCTTTAAAGGAGGGTGGGAGTGGGGAAGAACCCACACCTCCTGCTTCCACCACATTGCTTTTGTCTCCAAGCACATATTTAGAGTACAGTTGTTCTTGATGTGTCAGTGCAGGTGTTATTCTCTGTAAAGATCTCACCATCTCGTGCTATAGCAACAATGTAGTTTGACTTATTTTGCACAGAAAAGACCAGAATGCAATTTTTATGATGATGAAGCTTTCCTGAAGTTCAGAGAAGGCTCTGTTAATATAGTAAAAAAAAAAAAAAGTGTTTTAGGGGGTGGATCACTGATTCAGTCAAAACTTCTAGAAAAATACTTAAATGAAATAAGAAATTGGTTCTCTGACTTTGCTGTTCTTGGATGTGGACCTCCAGTACTTTATAGGTGTTAAAAAGGAGCAATTGTGAGATATTTTTTTTTTATTCATTTAAGTCTTTCCATTTTTACAGCATCAAGAATGGTTCCAGAGATTATGGCTGAGCGCAAACAGTAGTTTGAGAATCCTCAAGTTTAACAGATAACTTGAGGAAAAGGACTTTTAAATATCAAAGTAAATTACTACAAAATTGAATCTATTGCTTTTAACATGGAATAGGTTTTAGAAGGATATTTGAAATCTCTTTTATAGCTTTATATTGTGGGGTTTATGGGCTAACTCACTAAGAAAAAATGCAAATTGCCTTATCTGCCAAGCAGTCTCTATTTCCAATATATGTTATGAAAAGTAGTTGCTCAATCCAATTATTTAGGTCCTTAAAATAAGCTCTGAATATTTTTTGTAGAGAATTTCACAGCTTCTCTCTGTACCACATCAGAAGTTCATTCAGGTCAAGGATATCTGCAACTCCCATATTCTGACCATAAAAGAAGATTTATTGAAACGTGCTGGGGTTTGCACCAAGGATCTAAATTAGCAATTATTTGTACTTATTTTAACTATTATATTCATATATTTACATGATTTTTCATGTAGTGTAGTGTCTAGTTTAATTAACTTCATTGTAATATAAAAATATATATTATTGCAATATATTTTTGAAAGGCTAGTAATGATAGCAATCTGATCTTTCGGAGGTCAAGCACTGAACACTGAGATTGATAACGTTCCATGTAAATTTTTAAAGCAGTTTGTTAAATTGTATAATTAGTTTGGAGCTCAAATGACTCCCATGTTGTTATCCATGCCATTGTTCAGCTGGAGCCATGGATTGGTAGCAGGGTAGTTTAAAGGGATTAATCTGCTTTTTTATCTTTTGGAGTTGCTGAGCCTTGGAGCGTGAATGTCTTTGCAGCATCTGGTTATCTAAAACCTGAAAGCTGAATCTGATAAACATCAATAATTATTTTAAATGTCTGAAACTCTGCTTATCCTGTTAAAGTTACCTTGTAGCTTTGCATTGGAAGTATCTGTTTAAGTGCAGAAGAGCACAAGGCAGGAAGGTTCAAAACTCAGGGTTAATGTAATGTTTCCTTACCTCGGTATTTTCAGTAACATACAGCTCTCTGAGACTGAGCTGTTTCCTGCACATATGCTCCCCAGCTGTCTCTGATGTTCAAAAACACTTCAGTTGGACTTGGAATAACTTCCGTTTTCTAACTATAATGTTGTTTTCTTTCTCCTTGTGGACCAGAATTCCTCTTATTTTGCTTTTACTCAGTTTCTAGGCATTTACTGAGTGAGAAATTGTGAGAATCCATTCAAATGAATGAATGCACATTCAAATACTATTAGCAGATAAACACATTTACTTGCTGGCTTGTATGCACTTAATGACAGGATTTCAGCACAGTCCTCAGCTCCAGTTATTGCTGGTTAATGGAAGAAGCTAAATTTTCCCTTTCTTCATGAAAGAGGTAGGATTTTAATGTTATTTGTGCTGCCATGACGTCAGTGAAGAACCCAAACTCATACTTTTGCTGCAGAACCCAACGGCTACTGTGGCTTTTCAGGTGTAAAACAAATCTGTTGGGAAGAGGGAATGAGTAGCCTCAGAGGACCTACTCATCTTCCTAAACTATCTAACAGAAATGTAATGGCATTATAGGACTGTGGAGGTGGGAATTGTGACACCTACATATCTTATCTGGGACCATTTAATACTGTTAGTAGAAGAGCACAGATCTCAGTGGAAAGCTGTTGACGCCGCTTTTGTACTTGAGTATTAAAGAAACTCATGGAATTATATCCTCTGTTTTGATGTCACACTTGTACTGACTGGAATTTTTCTTCAGTGTCACCCCTTCATCGTGTTTGCTGACTGGAGTTTGGATTTTGTTACATGAATGTGCCACATTCACTGAAGTGAGGAACTTGAGATTCTGTGTGAGACTTTTCTTCCTTAAAGCCCCCACTTGCTCTCATCCTTGCTTTCACAGTCTGCTGTGTCATAGTCTGTCAATCAGGAATAAATTTCCCTTAGGCCTTTGCCCTTTATGTACCGTGTAAATGGTCCCACACCATTAGATCCATGAGAATCATGGCCAGTACCTGCTTCAGCCCACACAAGAATCTGCTCATGGAGCGTGACTAGTTTGGGTCTTAAGCCTTCAACACTGGGCTCTGTAAGGGAGAAAAGGCACAAATTTGAAAATTTCACTTAGATCCATGAAAAAAGATTTATGATAACAGAGACAGGTTGGTTGAGAAAGTCATCAGGGAGTGGGACCACAGGAGTTCTATTTCTGGGAAGCTGATGATGCCCAAGAGCTAAACAGAGATTCTGCTTCAGTAGAAGTCAACAGCACAACAGATATTTTGTCATGTCAAAGAAAAATGTAGGGACTGCTCAGGCCTTAATATCATTGAGCTTGGAAAAATGCTTTTTCCTTCCTTGTGTTCTGTACGGTTTCACTATTGTGTCTTCAGAGAAGTCTTCAGAGAAAATTGTGTCTTCAGAGAAGTGATATAAACTAAAATTTCTGTGTTCTCATCTTTGATATTCTTATCTCACTTCCTGTATGTCCCTGCCCATGACAGGGGGGGTTGGGACTAGATAATATTTAAGATCCCTTCCAACCCCTTAGAACTATGATTCTAATTCTGTTTCTTTATAAAAAATTTGACTGTTCACCTTTGATATATATTCATCAGAACTATTAGCAAAATGTAGTAATTCTCCCATATATGAGCACTCTATTTTACTTTCTCACTTGTGCTCTCATAGATAACTTTTACTGAAATGGGTATTATGTATTTCTGAACTTTGCACTGTAGAATTATAGTACTTGTTTCTCCCTCTTACTGAATTCTTCCTAAATGTATGTTAACTAATGTCATTATTATTGCTGATGGAATCATAGAATCATTTGGTTGGAAAAGACCTTTAAGATCATCAAATGCAGCTGTTGCCCCAGCACTGCTCTGGGACCATGTTGGGCCATGAAGAGTTCACCCAGTTCCTGACTCCCTGTTGAGTTTTCTTTCACTTTTTCAAGTCACATCGTAAAACCAGTGGAATTCTGAGGTTTGACTTTGCCATCCAGAATTCTCGTTAAGGCCAGTAAGGCGTGAGGTCACTGAGTTGCTGATACCAACTTTTCTGATGGTGATCAAGAACAACTGTGCATGTTTCTTATAGAGTCCTGGAGAGGTGTGACAGAATCCACGAGGTTATTTTATATAGTTCCTTATGCAACATGGTAAACTTTAGCTGACTTCCTAAGAAACAGTCTGGAAGATATCTTGAGCCTGTTACTATTTTTCTTCTGAATCTTTTGATGTGGCTTCATTAATTCCTTTTCTCTTTTTTTTTTTTTAATTTAATTTTCAGTGCAGATGATGTGCTTGTGCATATTCTAAGTTTCAGAAGAATGAAACTTTCCCTCAAGAGGGTGTTATGCATCTTTTCTCTCTTAGAGCACCTGGATTAATTGGTTTAAAAGACAGAAATACTACACTACAAGGACTTTGGACTGTCCCACCCTGGCAGTGTGTAAATTCCTAACCTATGAAAAACCTGCCTACCTGTCCCATTTCAGTTCCAGCTCTCCTTCCCCTGCAGCTGCCTGGACCTCTGCTAGACCTTAACAGTGTGTAAAAATACTGTGGCACCACACAGGTAATGCATTAGTTTTGAAAATAATCTAGACTGGCCCTCTCTATTGCCACTTCAGCTTTCCAGTGTAATGATTTCTGAAAAGTTCACTTACTTATCTGTGCAGCACTTGACATGTTTGGAATTAAAAACTATAACAGTTTGTTGACGTTGTTTTTTTTTCCTCATTTCACTTTTATTGATACCCTTTTGTCCCCTACTACTGACAGTACTTGGCAAAGAATATCTGTGGGTTTTATTCTCAATTATCCTGGGTCAAACTGTTGTTCCAACCTGGGGTTTTTTTGCAGTATTCAAATCATGTCACAACCCAAGTGGGCTGTGGCTTGTGCTCATTTCTCCTCAGTACAGAAGCTGACAGTCAGAAATCCACATTCTTCCACCAGCCAGCAATTCTATCCAGGTCGTAGTGAAGTCTCTGGCGTGAGTCACTTGAGGATTTTAACCTGGCCAAGGAGGTTGGCACAGGGAAGAAGAACTGAAGCTCCTCCCCAAAGAATTAATAGCAATACTCTCCAACAGCAATGATGTTAAGTACCTTAAGGTATTCCATGTCTTAAGGCAGCAATTTTTTCACCTAATTCCCCAGCCCAGATGATCTCACCCCAGGGTAAGTATGCAGATGACTACTCCAGCCATGTATAAGTTTGAGTTCTGATTGCAGCCCTCATAACAGTATTAATATTATCTGCCTGTTGTGATTTCACCACAGCATTTTTTCAAATCCAGTGGGATTATTTAGGACATTTTCTGAAAAGAGTTTCAAAACCCAGCAGTCATTTGTCAGAACTTTGCAAATGAAGTAGCAGAGATTCTTTCTGTTCAATGTTCTCTTGCCATTGAAGCTTCTTGCAGGCACTTCCTTGGGCTTACAGCTAAAAGGGGCAATCAGGAGTTCTAAAAACAAACATGTTTTGTTTCCTGGCTGGCATAGAGCACACACTCTCCTTCCATCACCTGTAGCAGTCTAAATGCCTGTTTCCTCACGTTCTTTGAGTGGATGTTTATACAGGACATTGAATATAAAGTACAATGGGCTCTGTCTCTGGAGCTGAAAGGCACATGCACACACTCATTTCATTTTAAATGCTAAAAATTTCAAATTAGTTCTCAACAAAATATCTTGGTAAGCTAACAGGGAAGGACAGAAGCATATGCACAGCACTGTACTGCTGCAAATGAAAAGCACAATTTTTAAAAAATCAGTCCTTGTAACTTCTCTCCCATCCAGTTACTCTTTGTTCTTACATTCCTTGGCTGTAAATTGCTGCTTCAGTTGCCCTCAAGCATCCAAAAATCCAGGCTTGTGTAACTTCAGTTTTCTTTTTGGCACCAGGACATTTGATTTTTGCTAGATCTCAGCAGAATGATTCATTGTTTGATTTGTTAATGAAATTCACTACTAGTATTAATTACTAATGTTATGCACTATGGAAATAAGAGAGACATTATTCTGATTTGCTTCTTACAGAGAAGGTCAGTAGTTTTTTCCTTAATTTCTCCTTTGGTCTAATGGTCCTAATGGTCTTCTAATGATGCTTATATCTTAAGAAGCTGCAGTTGATGCTCCTGGCAAGGCTGTGCTGCAGGATCTGGGGCATGTGAAATGCAAGCTGGCATCTTGTTGCTGGAACAGTTTTACTTTCTAAATCAAATGAATGTGGGCTAAAGCTGCCTGGAAAAATGCTGCTGGAATTGTTTCCTCGTCATGTCAATAGGCTGGGAAGGACAGCAAGGCCTGCAGAGCTTCCACATCTGCTGCACTGAATGCATTTGGACTCTGGTTTTTGGCAGTTTTTGGTGTCCTTTCCATCTGCTTTTTTCTGTCCCTGTGAGTATCTTCCCCCCACCCCCAGTGCTCATGTCCTCACTGCTGAGGGAGGGCTGTCAGCGAGCACCCAAATGAATTTCTAGTGACAGACTTCAATTAGTGGCGAGGAAACCTCTAGTATAGGGAGGATCTGACTTGAGGTTTTTCCTTTGTCTGTGAGTGTCCTCATTTCATGCTTCCAAGTCTGACTTTTATACGGTAATTCCGTAGGTGTTGCCACTTCCTCCGGAACCTGTGACTCAGGCGCCCTATAAATGCCGTGACATTACTGGCAGCTCCTGTGGAATTGCCAGTTTCCTAAATGGGGCTGTTGGCTTTGCTTTTGGGACTTGCAGCTTTGCTTTGAGGGGTTTTTTTGTCAGGGGGGAGGGATTAGGGGTTTTAATTACTTAAGGCAGCCTTGCTATTCCGGGGAACCACACTGCGTTTTAGCCTTTTGAATTGTGGAAATTGCCAATGTAGAAGTTTACTTAAAACGGGAGATCCACATTCATATACCAGTTATTTATGAATGAAATAATTGTAATTAGGCCTTCGTAGAGGTTCTGTTGTTATAAATCAGTCTTAATTCACTCCTGGTTTAGGGAGGGGTGGGGACAAGGGGAGGAAAAGGTCTGAGCGTACTTTTCCATTGTTTTTTTGGAAGCAATGAAACAAAAGACGTGTGTTCATACTACAGAGTGTGAAATGACTCTCAGCAAGTGTGTATCTGCAGCACAGCAGATTCAAGGCAGATTTCAGTGTTTTCTTTCCAGTGGCAGTGCTGTGTAAGTCCATGGCTGGAACAGGAGGAGCTGCAGTAAGTTCTGGTTCTGTGGGGAGTGTCCCTGAAGCCGGCAGGACTCGGGGTGGCAGCAGGAAGGCA